TACAAAATGATGTAAAAATAAACTATTATATCATAAAAAAAGAAGAAGACAGGTTCAAGTAAGGATCACATTGTCGTGGAAAAGTGCAAACCAGCTGGAGGCAACCCCCTGAACCCCTGCAGCCCCCATCACACATCCCCAGTTCATCTGCTCTGTCTCCAGCAGGTCTGGGCAGCCCTGGCACCCGAAGTTACCCAGGCGAGCTACAGAGAGCCGCCAGTACGCCATCAGAGAAACTGTACCGGTAAGCGAGCCCTTGATCGGTCCCAGCCAAAGCCAGCAGGCAAGAACGTGCTTAAAACTGCACAGGAGCCCAGGTTGGGTTTGACCTGACAAAGGCACTCAGCAGCCACTTGAACCATAAAATCCCAAACGCAGTGGAATCTGGTTGCCTCTTTTTTGCTACCAGAAAGGCAGGTCCCTGTGCCTCGTCATCTGTGTTAGGAAGATGCGGGGTCACTCATTTTACAAAGGATCCTTTTCATGGCTGAATTGGCCATTCGTGGGTGTGGCCACTGGTTTCCCAGAGGGGAAGGCTTGATTTCCGGGTGTCCGAAATCAGATCTGCTAAGTTACTCCGTCAGAAACACAAGCACACAACTAGTGCGCACGCGGTGCCATGGACCATCCAGGGGTCGCCTAGACGACCCAGGGCCTCCACATACCCGAGCGTGTGCTCAGTGTACACGCGAGCAGTAACGCGCTACCCAGTGGTGTAGAGAAGGCACTCTTGGAGAAGGGGTGCTCTGGCTATAGCAGAGGGGCCAGCTGAGCCAGACCAGACAGGCCTGACTTCCTTCTTGAGTCACAAATCCCCCAGGAGAGTCACTAAACTTCCAACTGTGAAAACGTGTTTTTTTTTTTGAGCCCTTTATAATAAAAATGTTTTGAAGAGACTCAAAGTGTGGAGGTAGAGCTAGCACCTAGGTAAGTGACCCAGTGTCATTTGTCTGCCAGGTTCCTGTCTCCTTTTTCTTCTTTTAAAAAGGTTTTTTAATTTGCTTTTTCACTCAAAAGGGGGCAAGAGAAAAAAGCGTGTCTCCTTTCTGCCTGTAGGTTTTTACTTCCCAAGGTTGAAAGTGGCCCCCAAACCAAGACAGCCTCCTTACAGCCTGACCCCCAGGCTATGGGTCCCCCTCCCCCCACCCCGGGAACACATTTAGTTTATACAGATTCTCCCTTGCAGCTGCTCAATGCTAGATTTCTCATTTGACGGCTCTGAGGAGTTCGATATTAACGCTTTTGAGGACATCATTGCTTTCTATGAAAGCAAGAAGTAAGTAGAAGCAAGGGCCTCGAACCCAAGACCAGGGAGGCACGCAGAGAGAAGCTGCCATCCCCAGGCGCTCAGCTTGGCGTCTGGGGCCAAGAGAAGGGGATCTCAAGCCAGGGGGACCCCCAGGCCTGCGAGAGTGCCAAGCTGCTCTCCGCATTTGGCCAGGTCAGGGGGTGTGGGCTGGAGCCTAGCGTTGTTCTCAGCTCCACCTGCTGCCCTGAGTTCTGGGGGTGTGGAGGTGAAGCGTGACCCCCTGTTGTCCTTGCTCTGTGCCTCCCTGGAGGGCGAGGAAGTGGAGGTAAGTGCAGCGTTGGGGCTGGGCACGGTGCATGGAACAGAGGTGAGGGACTGCCAGTCGAGGTCTCCCCAGGCCAACTGCCCAGAGCTTAAACATGTATGTGAGATAACAAGAAAGAGAAGGTAGAAACAAACACAACGCCCCAGAACCTCCGTCTCGCTCTGCTGTCGTTGCTCCACGATACTCTGTCAGAGACTTTTCAGTTTTTGATTTTCATCTCTGAGCTATTCTCCTTAGGGTAGGAAAGTTTGGGCCTAAATCAAATGCGCAGGTCTGAATCCACAGCATTCAACAAAATGAAGCTATTACAAATGGATTCTTTGGGGTAAGCAGCAAGGCTTTCTCATTCGGCCTGAGGACTACCCTGTGCCCCTAAGGAGCTGAGCCACATTCCTGGGCTCTGCCCACCAGAGGCCAGGAGCAAACCACCCCCCTCAGATGCTGTGAGTAAAAATGTCTCCAGACATCCCCAAGCGTCCCCTGGTGGGGGGAGACATCATCGCTGCCATTTGAGAACTCTATAAATTCCATTTCATTCCTCCCTTGGCCCTTTTTGAAGCTGACACGGAGGTTGACATGTGACCACGCATCATTCAGAGAAATCAATCTGCTGCCTCCCACAGCAGCCTCCTGGCCTCTCTCCAGTCATCTTTTGATACTTTTTACAGACCCCAAAGGCTCTTCCATAAAAGGGCTTTTTCAGTGATCTGAGCTGCCATGCTGTAAATCCATTTCACCCAGAGTGGCCTTCCCCCAAGTCCCTAGTAGGAGGCAGGCTCTCCTCCTTGGGGTGGGCTGCCAGATACTAAAGGCCAGACTCACCATCTCAAGTTGCAGGAAGGAAAAGCAGCACCAAATAGGGTCCTCCAGCTACATGTTTGGGCACCAGTGGCCTGGGGACAGTCCTGACCATGCCGGGAACCCCTAGGTGGTGGGCCGCTGCTCTAACTCCGTCTTCTCTCTGTCACTGCACCCCGTCCACCCCTCTCCCGCCCCACTCAGCGATTTGCATGATCAAATCATCAGGAGCATCAAAGGATTGCCCTGGCAGGGCGAGGATCCCCGTAGGCTGCTCCAGTCCCTCAGTCGACTCCAGAAACCCCGCACCTTCATCCTGTGAGTCCCCACGCTGCCCAGACTGCGGGCACCTTTTCCCCACAAGTGCAACGGCCGCCTCCCCTGCTACAGGGACCCTGGCCCACGGGTTTCCCATAACACTGAACCAGCCACTACCAATGCCGCACTGCTGCGCCATGGCCCAGATCCCTGCCAACCTCCCAACGCCCAGCACAGCTTAGCAGGAATGCACCTCCCACAAAGCATCTAATTTTCTGTGCATCCCCTCACCCACCCACTGTGCAAACCAATGCTTGCTTCCCTGCCTGCCTCCAGAGCTCTGCCACTGTCAGCTAATAAGGAAGCCATGGGAAGCAGAGCTTATAATTTCATGATTTTGCAAACTTTCACGTGACCGGTGACGGTGTGGCCAGTAGAAAGGGTTCCAGAAGCCACAGCCTGAGCTGGAAGCTGGAGGTCCCCTCTCCAACCCCCCACATGACTGAGCGCTTTGAACATTTGGCCTTCATTCAGCAAGCAAGGGGGTTGGTTTTCGGACATGCAGCGGAGGGCAGGCCGCTGCCTCAGCCATGCAGGGCTCCAGCCAGCTGAGAGCAAAGCTTGTATCTAAAGCCACATCTGTTTCTGCTGGGCTTTATGCCACCCTGTGGGAATTCAGATGCAACCTGACACACATGGAGAGCTTCGTGCCCAGCTTCTGTACATCTGAAGGGGGTGCAGGGCAAGCACTGTTTCCACAGCCAGCCCTTAAATGATCCAAGCTGCAAATTTTTCTTTTTTTTTAACCTTTGTCTACAGGATTCCCTGAAGCATCTGGTACTTGTGAGAGCCAACCCCCTTGGCCAAAAGCTCTCTTTTCTTGTTCACCAGTGCCAGTCTCAAAGGTGCTCCCAGCAACTTTCATTTGCCCATCAGGGCATTCACAAGGTGCTCCATGGTGTTTTCCAAAGTGTAGTTAACAGAACGTGGACACCTGATAGGTGCTGGAACCACAGTCTCTTTTTTTAAATACCTTAAGTCCCTTGGAACCAGTCCTGCGTATCTGCACGCTCCGCCCTGTAGATCATCTGCCAGATTTCCTCCTATTCCCGGGACACCCAAGGACCCAGACACTCCCCCTCCTCGGGCACAGCCACTAGCCCAGAGCAGTGGGTGTGCACGGACGTAGCAGAAGCAGCCCGAGCCCGCACGGAGGAAGCAGCCTGCCGGGTCCTTGGAGAGGCAGCAGCGGCCTCGTTGTACTTGTGCTTTCTAACTCTGCACTCTCGCTCAGTCTAACCTGCAGGTGTAGCTTGCTGAACTAACCCAGACACTCACACCATGTTCCTTATGTTCACAAAACCATTTTTAATATTTTGACAGGAAAAGTAGAGGTATCAAACAAAAGCAGATCATTCCAAAGGTAAACATGCGCGGCACCGTCCAGAGTTTCCTTGCCTCCACCTGCTAGAGAGCACCTTGCTACAGTAGTTTCTGGAAAATGGGATGGAGGTTACTGTTAATTTCTCAGAGTTCCTCCTCTGTCCTCTCTGAAAAATGTTTCTTGTCATTGATTTGTAGCTAACACTGGGTCTCCTAGAAGCAGGGCCTGTGAAGGGGATAACAGTGCAAGTGGTATTTTGGGAGGAGACCCCAAGAGCTAAGGCTGGGCGGGAGTTGGGGGGTACAGTTGGGAGGGTTCTGAGCAGGTAGGCCCAGCCTGACCCCCAGGGAGCCTGGGGGCAGGAGCAGCACCACAGATCTTGTCCTGCCCACATTGAGGTTCCTAGCCATGGCCACCTCCAGGGCCCTGAGACAGGACACAGCACCTCCTCCCAGGCATGGTGATAGGCTCATGCAGGGGGCACCTGCGTTGCTGACAGCCAAGGTCCCTGCCACCAGCCTTGTTTGAGTGCACCCAGATCCTCTGTCTAGTCTCCAAGCAAAGCATCCAAATGAATTGTGAAGTTTGCAGAATAACAAGAACAACTTCTCAGTCTGTTTGGTAGACTGGACAGGACTTGTTCCTAATTTCAGCAAGTAGTAAGGGCTGGGGCCTATGAGAGGACGCGCTGGGTAGGCCCTTATGGGAAGACAGCACTCCAGAGCTTTTGGTGCCCACACACCTGGACTGCCAACGAGGCTGTAATCAGGCCTTCTGGAGCTGGCGTGATCTGAGGATGCAAACCAGGGTTGCCCTGGCTACCTGCCAGGCCTGCCTGGCTCTGCCCTCTGGCAACACTATCCCAAGACCAACCCTAAGAACTCCCAAGGGTATAGTTCTGGCTCTGGGGGCATCTACAATGCTTCCCAATACCCACCACGGCTTCAAGAGGGCAGACCAGACTCATGTATCCATCCTAGAACCTGCTGGATTCCAAGTCCCTGAAGCTGATTATCAGCATGACCCTGCATGACCGTACCACCAAGTCCCTGCTGCACCTGCACAAGAAGAAGAAGCCACCCAGCATCAGTGCCCAGTTCCAGGTAGGTGGCCAGAGAGGCAGAGGATGGAACCATACTTAGCCCATCAGCTTACTCGGTTTAACTAAAACAAACCCCAATGGAGGTATTGTTATCCCAAGTCTCCAAGCCCAGCACTAGACATTTGAGACTGGTACAGGCCCTCCTGTGCATTGTGGGATGTTGAGCAGCATTCCCAACTTCTACGCACTGTCACTGGGGGTGACATAGCACCCCCAGTCATGACAATCAAAATGGCTCCAGCAGCTGTCGAATTACCCCTGGCTGAGACAAGTGAGTTAATCCTGGGTTAATGTTAGTTAACAGGACCACTAAGCTGTGTCCCTGGGTCATATTTCTCCTTTTTTCCTGGCTGCCAAGAAGCTCAGGGACACATTTTTTAAGAGGGCCTAATGGCTGCTAACTCACTTTTTCACTTTTATCTTTTTTTTCTTCTTCAGTCTTTTTCATGATTAACTCGTATGGAAGCACCAACAAATCCTTTTTTGAAATAGCAAGCCTTGACCAATCAATCACTTATCTCCATGGTCCTTTCTGAGGCTGATATGGTGCCACCCCTTTCCCCCCACCTTCCTCTTGAGCTGAACAAATGCTAACTCTCAGCCAAAGAACACTGCCTGGAAGGCTCCCTGGGCAGCAGGGTCTTAAGTTAGAGTATCCAACTGCTTTGTCCTCTGTCCCACATCAGCACAGATACCCCTGCTGACATTGGTGGGTGACTCAGGCCCTCGCCTCAAATAGTGACCTTCCCCTGGGTCTGTCCCCCTCTTTCTCTGTCTCCCAGACATCCCTCAGTAAGCTCCTGGAGGCCCTGGGGAAGGCAGAACCCTTCTTCATCCGCTGCATCCGCTCCAATGCTGAGAAGGTAAGTGTCTCCCAGGTCAGAGGGACGTGGCTCAGCAGAGGGTATGTTCGTGTGCCTGTGCCGCTCAGAAGAGACCAGAAAAGACAGAAGGATCTGAGTGTTCGTGCAAGTTCTGGAACTGCAAGCGGTGTGCTACGGCTGGCCAGAGGTGGGGAGGGCAGAAGCAGGCCGTGAGTGCAGCCAGGAGCGAGGACATCACAGGAATGTACGGGGCCTCTGAGGGAGGTTTGCTCAAGGAGGAGTGCTCTTCAGCATGTCATACAAATGACCCATGCAGAGAATTTACCAGAAGGGAGGAGCTAAAGTCCTACAGCTTGAGCAGAGTTGTTACTTCTCTGAAAGTTTCTGGAAAAACTGGCAAAACACCAGCAGGGGCCCTGGAGCCACCACCAGGCTTACTTCACCCCAGAGGTTCACTGGCCACATGACCCCCTCAGGATCAGAGGTTGCAAGGGGTGGCCTTGGGATCTGGGCAGTGACCTCCTGGTGACTCCATTCACCTACACACCCCTTCCTCCTTATTCTTCCCTTGTCCCTGCCTCTCCCATCTTCCTGGGACAACATGGCTCTTCCCTGTCCCCTCTTTGGGTTATTCCCTTCCCTCCCCCCACTCCAAACACCACCCACCAGTACGGAGTCCAGGCCCTTGAGCTCTAGGCTCAAGCCCACTGAGGCAGCCTCCCTTTTAGCTCCTCTAACAAGAGTCATCTATCTCCCTGCATCCCTGTCAGCCCCGTACTTCCCTCTCCTTACGGCCTTCACCCAGCTGCTCCCTGCCCTCTGACCCCTGCCTATTCCCTCTCCCACCCTTAGGACATTGCCCAGGATCCCTTTTCCTTTGATATTTCCATGGGGACCCAGGCAGCACCCGATAGACCATGACCCCTCAGCTGGCTCCTCAGTACTTACAGCAAGCCTGGCACAGAATGTGAATTTGGCACAGGTGTGGGTTGGGACCCTTAGGAAATAATTCCTTGAAACAAATTATCTTAAGTTAGGGGGTAAGAGAGAGCATCTATTTACCAGACTCCAGGAATAGAGTGATCAGATGCCAAGTTTTCTAGAAAAGTCCAACACTTTGAGTATTGCAATTAGTGACCCTGTCTCTAGTCTAAAACCCGTGTCTGGAGCAAGGACAGACAGACCCTACAGATGCCTCATGGCAGCCATCATAGGGATGTCCCCATACCAGCTGAGTCCAATGTGTACGCCCTGGTGAGGTCTGTGTCCAAAATCCTGAGGAGCCTTGATCCCTGGCTCCCAACACTTGACCGTCTGCCCTGATTGCTCGCATCCCGTTTCAGAAAGAACTGCACTTTGATGAGGAGCTGGTGCTACAACAGCTGCGCTACACAGGCATGCTGGAAACTGTGCGCATCCGCAGGTCGGGCTATAGCGCCAAGTACACATTCCAGGTAAGCTGCGCACACCTGGCTTCCCATGGCTCGCCTTCTTGAGAAAGCACCTCTCTGGAACACCCGCTCAGCAGGTTACTTTATACCAGGGCTTCGCAGCCCAAGCACCATTGGCATCTGTGCTAGATCACTCTGATGCTGGGGGAAGAGTGGCAGCGAGCCCCAGAAGAGGTAGCTGGCCCCAGATCAAGCTAACAGCTACAGAGCTGTTAGACTAAGCTAGGAAGAGAGAGAAATGCATGTAACCCCCCTTTTGGGGGCATCTTCTAAAATGGACGTTTATTTTTTTTTAATATTTGATTTTGGTTTTGCATAGAACTGGAGTGTAGGCCAAAGGTGATGAGAGGGTTCACTAGAGACAGTGGGGAGCAGAACAGGCAGGTTTACTGAATTACACTACTAAGGGGGTCAGCGGGCGAGATTCCTGTGCCATATATGGGTTAACTCCCTGGCCAGGGATTGAACTCGGGCTGAAGAGGTGATGGTGCTGAGTCTAACCCCTAGATCAACAGGGAGGCCCTATAGTGAGCACTTTTATACCCACCTCTTCTGTCCTGCTAACTGGCAGCAAGGGAGTTCTGTTCTGTCTTCCCAGTAGGAAAACGGATAAAGCAGATGTTTCAAAACCAGTTGCATAAAAATATTTGGCTTCTCAGTGCACTTAAAAGTTCTATTTACACAATGTGGTTGTCCAGTAAGTGTTATTAGCATTGTGTCTAAAAATTAATGTGCCCACCTTGTTGCTAAAAAGTGCTAATTATCATCTGAGCCTTCAGCAAGTGATGTTTTTGCTAAGGATCTTGTGAAAAACACAAACACAATATAGCAAGGTATGCCTGTATCATCCACTTTGTATGCCTTTATCAGCCACATCAAGCCAAGTTTGGCTTTGAAGACTTAGTTTCACCAAGAGCATTGCTGAAGCCCGCTTTCCTTGTCTGCAGTAGAAAACACTCAACAAGTTTTCCTTTCTTGGCCAAAATTACCCAGGATTTCACAGAGCAGTTCCAGGTGCTTCTGCCCAAGAACACACAGCCCTGCAGGGAGGTCATCTCAGCCCTGTTGGAGAAGATGGACATAGACAAAAGGAGCTACCAGATCGGGAAAACCAAGGTCAGTGCTTCTCTACCCCCCAGGGTGGCTGCAAACTGGCACACCACTCCCTTCTATGAGCCATTCAGTGAAAAGTACTGGGCTTTGTTGAGAAAGTATGTTCCTTGGGCCACACATATTATTGTCCGTCAGAGACGAAAGCCATCACCTCCTTGTCAGGGCTTCCCCAAGGGCCATCAACTGATAAAGGATGAACACACATGGTAGACTATCCCTCCCCCATAAAGGAGTGAAACACTGATGCACATTACAACATGGATAAACTGAAAACATGTTTCTGAGTGAGAGATCAGACACAAAAGGCCGCACCGTGTGTGGTCCATGGATATGAAATATCCAAAACAGGCTTATCCACTGACAGAAGGCAGATGAGTGATTGTCAGGGAGCTGGGGGAAGACAGTAAGCAGTAACTGCTCATGGAAACAGGGCTCCTTTTGGAGCAATAGAATATTCTAGAGCTAGATAGAGGTGTTGTCTACAAAGTTACTAAAATGTTTTACTTCAAATGATTAAGTTCATGTTATGTGAATTGCATTTCAGTAGTTGTGTGCCTCTGAACAATGTTTTGGTCAACAACAGACCATAGACACAAAGGTGGTCCCAGTAGGCTATACCATAAGCCTAGGTGTGTAGTAGGCTGGACCGTCTAGGTTTGCGTAACGACATTGATGTTCCCACAGCAAATGTCATTACTTACCGATACATCTCTCAGGACTTAGCCCCATTGCTGAGCAATGCATGACTGTATGTTTTTAAAAACAAACGCTGCTGAGGTCAGCTGGTCTCACCCACTCCCCAGCAGGTTGTGCTAGCCTCCCTGAAACAGGGGTTCTGGGTGCCTTGCTGATCCCTCCCATGCCCACACCCCAGGTTTTCCTGAAGGAAACAGAGCGGCAGGCCCTGCAGGAGACGCTGCACCGGGAGGTGGTGCGGAAGATCCTGCTCCTGCAGAGCTGGTTCCGGATGGCGTTAGAGCGCAGGCACTTCTTGCAGATGAGGCGGGCCGCAGTCACCATCCAGGTACCAGCCTACCCAAGGACTGAGCCAGGGGTAAGGGTGGCTGGGGTAGCACCCCAGCCTCTTAACACCGACTCTTCCTCAGGCCTGCTGGCGGTCCTACCGGGTCCGACAGGCACTGGAAAGAACACAGGCAGCTGTATATATCCAGGCTGCGTGGCGTGGGTACCGGCAGCGGGTGGCTTATCAACACCAGAGACGGAGCATCATCCTTCTACAGAGCCTGTGCCGGGGGCACCTGCAGCGCAAGAGGTGAGCAGAGAAGGGCCTACCACCCAGAATGTTCTAGAAGACAGTGTGTTCATTCACCCAGCAGCTGCCTGAGATACCACTGTACCTGCAGAGCTATCAGGATACTATGCTGGAAGTTGGGGTGGGGAGAGGGCGCACTTTTAGGAACCCCGCTGTCTGGGTACATGGACCCCCAGAGAGACACATTTTTGGGGCTTGTGGGCATCACCAGGACCCTCCCCCCACAACTGCCCACGCAGACTGATAATGTAGCGATGAGGAGCCCAGGACCCAGGGACCAGCCTGCAGGTGACTTCCCTCCCCACCCATACTCACATGTGGATCATGGGTATTTTTCAGGCCCATGACCCCCATGGGACATAAGCCACCCATAGTCAAAAACCTTCAAGAGAACATTCTGAGGGGAGAATTCTGCAGACCTCAAAGGAATTCAGGGGTCTTTAACAGATCCCACCCACAACAATCCCAACCAAGATGCCTCTGAACCAGCCAGCCCAGCCATGACCACAGGGACCCACCCCTAAGTCCCCCTTTGTTGACTGAGGGATTCCACTTTTCTGCTTCTTCAGAGGCCCCAATGGCCTGGTGGATTTGGGGCCAGTATACATGTTTGTTTCTGAACCAGAATCCTTTTTACCCGCAGCTTTAGCCAGATGGTCATGGAGAAACAGAGGGCCGAAGAGGAGAGGGAAACCCAGGAAACCCAGCAAGCCTCAAGGGAAGAGGCCGCAGAGGCAGGACCAGGCCCAGAGCCTCCAGAGGACAGTGAGCACACAGCGTTGTCGTCTGAGGCATGGCCAAGTGACAGGCCCCCTGCCCAGAGTTCCCAACAGGAGACGGAGGTCTCAAACCCTGAGAAGACCCTCCCACCCCTCAAAACTACAGCTGAAAGTCAGGAGAAAGCACCAAGCAGCCGGGAGAAGCGGGAGTCCCGGCGGCAGAGAGGGCTGGAACATGTGAAGTTCCAGAACAAACACATCCAGTCATGCAAGGAGGAGAATGCCCCTAGAGAACCTTCTGAAGGTTCCGAAACAGACATCCTGGAGCCAGAGGAGAGCCTCCCAGAAGACAGGACGGATATTAGAGAAGATGAAAGTGCTTTAGATGGAGGAGTCGAGACAGAAAAGTCTTCTGTAGAGCAGCCCTCAGAGCTGCCGCAGGCTCC